TATATATATATATATATATATTCTTTTTCTTTTGCAATAATGCTATTGATGAATTTCACCATGAATTTAGTTGACCACCTTTAATACAAATTACCTGTTTTCTATTCAGAAATTTCAATCTCAGTATTTAAAAAAACTCAACTTAAATGCACTTGGTCTGACTTGTCGTGTCTTTAATTTTTTATAACGAGTGAATTTTGTACTTCTTGAAACATGGGATACTAAAATAAGAGATAAAATTCACTAATTACAAAAAAATAAGGGGGGATCAAAAATGTCATCTTTAAAGTACTGGAGACAATTTTTTATTAAAAAAAATGAAAATCTAAAACACATCTTACTCTAAATTATTTTATTTTTAATAACTAACTAAATTTTAGGGACTATTAATTGTTGAGAGTGTATATGATTTATTTATTGAGTTAATTACCTATACATTACTAGTGTAAAATTTTTTATACTGACAGTCAATCAAAACTATTAATAATGTCTTTTTTATTTTAATTTAATTAAATAAATAAATAAAAAAATATTATTAACGATTCTGATAAATTTTACACTGATTAACTCTTATTTATTTACTTCTATAAAGTAATTAATTGACATGACGCGTTGTTGCTTGTTACATCTTCCAGAATGTGATACCACTGTGGAAGGAGCTAGAGTTCTACAAGGAGTTTCAAGCCAAATTGAGAGCACATGTTGGTGTAGAAAAAGCCAACTATATCATCGGAGAAGCGTTGTACTTGATGAGCCTAGGAACCAACGATTTCCTCGAAAACTATTACGTGTTCCCAACCCGACGACTCCATTATACCGTGTCACAATACGAGGATTTTTTGTTGGATATTGCGGATAATTTCATTCGGAAATTGTACGCACTTGGGGTACGAAAATTAGCCATAACGGGTCTTGTTCCCGTAGGGTGTCTCCCCTTAGAGAGGGCCACGAACGTTTTAGGGCACCATGGTTGCAACCAGGAATACAACAACGTGGCTTTGAGCTTCAATAAGAAGTTGGATAATGTGATATCCAAGCTTAATAGGGGGCTCCCAGGGTTCATGGCTATGTCGGCAAATGCCTATTCCATTGTCAATGACATCATTACACGACCTTCCGCATATGGTACGCTATCTTTGTTTCTTCTCACTTTTGTTCTTCTTTTTAACTTGTGTGCATCATTATATGGTGTTTTGTGCTGCACTTTTCTTTCTTCCTCGTGCTATGCCCATTTCTTGCATTTGTGGATATATCTATTTCCTATACTATTGTTGTTTCTGACTTCAATTTTCCAACTTCCATTTTTGAAATAGTACAAGAAAGCTCAACTCAAGACTTCCTCAAATATCTAACAAATGGTTCAAACAACTTTTCCCCCCCTTTTTATATATAAAAAATACAAATTAAATAGATTTATATGAGCTGATAAAAAAGGAGAAAAATATTAATTGAAATTTTCATTTAACTTAAGGAACGTGAATATAATTTGTTTATATTTATTATTTATATCCGGCCATAAAAAATCTGAATCCGTATGTATGTGCCATGCATGTGATACGCTTTAATTAACTTCCGTATCTGACCTGTGACGCTGTCAGAAACTGAGAAAACATAAAATATAGGGTTAATTGCATAATTAATGTATGTACCAAACCAGGGCATCTGTTCTCCTTATTGAAATTAAAACGGTATGTCAGTTGCAGATTTTCTCCTTCAATCTTTGATTTGACTAATTTATTTGTCATATTAATAAATATTATAAGAGTAGTGGGATATATTATACTAGCATATATATATATATATATATATATATATCAACAGCTCGTTAATCCGTGTCGAATTTATTAAGGTCGCGTTCAAGTAAAATTTTCTAATAAAGATTAAATCAACAAGTAGTGATATTTTGCGGAAACTCATAATAAGAAGAAACATGAGGGCAGAAACATAACATTTAATTCTGAATTTTTATGGCCACCAAAACTATCGCCCAGTACTGTACTTTAAATTATGTTGCTGATGGAAGTTGATAATAATAGTGATGGTCAGCAAGGGACCTCTTGTGTGATTGTGGCCACACACACATGCAGCTTTTAGGTCTGCTTTTACTTCATATCATTAATTCTAATTTATGGAGACAAGCAACGTACACTGTGGCATATCTACCACCTAGAATGGCCAATTGCTAACTATTTTTGTTAATAACTGTTAATTTCAGGATATGAGGTTGTGGAGAAGGCATGCTGTTCCACAGGAACATTTGTGCCACTGGGGTTTGCTTTGCCTCTGCTGGAACTGGATATGATAATGCTACTTCTGCTGTACTAGTAAGTCTCTTCTTAATTGCTTTTCCTCTTATATATATCAAACAAACCCTTCACTGTTTTTCATCTCCAAATCAAGTGATCTAACTTCTCTGGGCTTCTTCTGGAATTTGCTTTTAAGGAAATAATTACTACTCCTTTTCTTTAATTTAAAGCTTTTCAAGTTATAAGATTTAAAAATAATAAAAAAACTCGCAAAAATTAAGAAGAGATCAAAAGCATATTAATTATTGGGTATCAACTATAAAATGTATTTCAGATCTCTTAATTTTGGATCAATTAGTCTATTTCCTTAGTTTAAAATCAATGATATTAGTCTTCGTATATATATATATATACCTTATATACTTCCCCCTACTAATGAAATTGGATTTTTACCCAACGAAATCCCTAAAAACTAAAACTCTTATAGTGTGTTTGGATGGGAAATGTAAATGGAGTAATTCATTTATTTGAAGAATTTCAAATTCTTTGAGGTAAAATATCTTATTTGGATGGAGAATTTATAAGGAATTTGAAATTCAAGCATTTGTGAAATTTTTTGAAATAGTAAAATTTCAAATTTTCCAAAAAAAGTGAGAATTTAAAATTTCTCATTTTTTTTTCTTCTTATTTCACTTATATATTTTATCTTATCTCTTATCTCTTCATATTTTTAATTATTGAATATTCAAAAATATTTTTAAAATTATTAAATATTATCTAATATTAATTGTTAAACTTATTAAATATTTAAAAATTAGCTAATATTTATTTTTATAAAATTTAATTTAAAAATCTCAACATATAAGTATATTTTTAAAAT